AATTAGAACAAAAAAAAAAAATAATAATAAATAAACAATAAAGATCCACATAATCAAATACTGACAGCTGAGATAACTGCTATTACTGATTGTAGTGCGTAAGAAGAATATTTTTCAATTTACGGTTACAGACATTATCAAAAAATATATCAAATTTATCACTAACACAGTTATACAATTTGAAACAGTTTAGAAGAGGCGAGTTGTAATGTTGAAATGTGTTAGGAATTTTATAAGAAAATGTGAATGCGTGTCTACTAATAATTCTGTTTACATTTATTTTGATTTTACCAAGAAGTTCAGCACTTTTAATTGTACCAAATATTATTTTTTGTAGAAAAGTTAGACACGCCACATATCTTCTACTTGAGAGAGAATTTTCATTTATTAGATGTAACAATGCTTTCTGCTCATAGTGTGGTGTTGGATAGTGTCCGTACGTCTTTTAAAATAAATATTTACAAAATTTTCGTAAAACATTCTCTAAGTAATCAATATATGTTGTTTGCCAAGGACACCATACACAACAACAATATTCCAGCCTGGACCTAACCAAGGTATAAAATAACAATTTAATTGGAAAAGTATTCCTCATGTCAGAGGTGTTTCTAATAACGAACCCTAGCAACTTCAGTCCCTTCTGTAAAATGTAGTTAATGTGCGGTACGAAAGAAAGTTTATTATCCACTATAACGCCAAGATCTAAGAACTGCTCACAACGCTCAAGTACATTACCATGAATATTGTAAAAGAAATCCACATTAACTTTTTTCCTACTGATTGACATTACTTTACATTTTGCTGTATTAATGCGAAGAAAGTTCCTGCTACAATATTCTCCAAACAAATCAATACTGTGTTGAAGATGCAAACAGTCAGAGTATGAGTTTATAATATTGACAATTTTTAGATCATCGGCGTATACATAAAACTTACAATTTATGTATTCATAAACGTCATTAAAAAATATAATAAAAAGAAGTGGTCCAAGATTGGAACCTTGGACGACTCCACTATTAGAAGAAAATTCTTCTGATTGATAACTGCTATATTCCACATATTGGCGCCTGCACATTATAACTGATTTTAATAGTTGAACTAAACTACAAGAGAGACCAAAATTTTGTAATTTGTTAAGTAAAATACAATGATGCACTTTATCGAAAGTCTTAAGTCAGGTCTGTGTATACAACGTCAACTTGTTTTCTCTCATCAAGAGCTTGCGAAGCGAATTGTGTAAATTCAAATAGATTGGTTGCCGTTGACTTTTCCTTTACAAAACCATGCTGTTATTTGTTTATAAAATTGACTACATGCGAATATAAAACTTCTGATAATATGCACTCAAAAAGCTTAGCAAAATTGGATAACAGTGCAACAGGTCTATAATTTTTTATGTCACTTTTATCGCCAGATTTAAAGATCGGACAAATTTTTGAGTTTTTCCAGACAATAGGATACGATGTAATTTTTAAAATTAAATTAAAAATATGACAGATGGGAAACAGAAAACAATTAATACAATCAACCACAATATACGCAGGAACACCATCAGGACAGGAGACACCATTGCACTTAATTTTTTTCACTGCTCTTAATATATCACACTGATCAATCTTGAACATATGTAAAACAGGGAAATATTCACAACCAGGTTTAATACGTAAAGATGGGCAGCACCTATTATCACAGAAATTACAAACAGAGTTTACATTATCACAGAACTGATCACATATATGGTTTTCATCATGACTGAACACGGAAGCAAATTGGCGAGCAAACGCGTTTACAATTTCCTGTGGAGAATTCAAAGTGTTGTTGTTACATGTCATAGATGCAGGTATCCTGCTTTGACCCCTCTTTGCATTTATAAATGACCAAAAATTATTTGGATTTCGTTTGATGGAATTTTCTGCTGTCAGTATAAATCCGTGATATGCTCTTTGTATTTCACTTTTAATTTTTTTTTAAGTTCTTTAAATTTATCGAGATGATACAATAGTCCGGATTTTCTGTATCTACTCCAGTGATGCCTTTTTTGTTTTATCATGTTAATTATAAGTTTGGTAAATCAAATCGGATAGTCACTCCTTTTGGAATTACCTTTCCTTAGTGGAACTGTCTGAAGAAACTTTTCATGCAATGTGTTATAAAAGTAGTTACAAGCGGAATCTGGATCACTAAATTCTTCGATTTTTGACCAATCAGTATTTGCCAGTAACAAATATAGCTCTTCTAAGTTCGCTTTCCGAAAGTTGAAGATTACCGAATTGGGGTTCTCTACAAAGCGAAATTCTATACCTTTAAGCAATATATCGAGTTTTAAGCATGGGTGATACGGTGTTCCTCCAAAAGCCTCTAATGTTATAATCGTTTCTTCTAATCTAACCTTATGCTTAATTTTGCAATAAGAATTAAATGCCAAGATATTAACTTCAACACCAGTATGTAATTTTAAATTATATTTAACACCATTTCTATAAATCAATTTAAACCAATTCTTATTAGTATTCCTAAATAGTATTGTTAACAATCGGTTAAAGAATTTGAATTTGGCGCCTTGGTGGAAGTGGTGATACTGCGAGCCGCTGCCTGTCCACGTCGTTAGTGTGTGAGGAACTCGAAAATGCGCGCTGGCCTGGGATTCACTTGCTGCTCTATTATTGCGCTTGTGTTTAGCTGTTTCTCTAATGTTTTGTTTTTATTATTTTTTTTTTTGAAAATAAATCGCTTAAAGTATAATGATAAGAGTAGAGCAAACGCTGACAAGTGAGAGCAATTTTTGATCTAAAACTAATGCCAAAAGGTCACTGGCGTTACTAGAAAAATTTTAAATAGGGATTGACTTCCTGGTATTCAGCTTATTTACATAACATAATAAACAAAATATCGAAGATAATTATTTTTTATCTCGAAATTTGTCAGTTAAATAGTTTTAATATAAACTCAAGAAATTTTGGACAACGAAACTTTTTTTTTTCAAATTTTTGATTTGCATTTTCAACCAAATCTCTCACTGCATGGTTTTTGCTGAACCATTTTATTCTTGGTTTTTTCTTATTTCTTCTTTAGCTTTTCTGGTATAGATTTTCAGACGGTAAACTATTATTCTCGCAGTAAATTTTGTTTTGCTGTTGCAGCATGTTGGAAACTGTATTGAGCGATAAGTCGAATTTTTTCTAATTTCTTTCTTCATGACTTCCAAAACATTACCAGTGCAAAAATTATTATTCTTTAAATAATCTCTCAAATTCCAAAATATTTGCTCTACTAAAATTGCTATTTGGAACGCTTTCTCTGAAGCCTAATGTAAAGCACCAGTTTTATATTCTTTTAATGTCACAAATTTTGCATAATTTTCATTACAGTTCTTCGTAGAGACCAAAGCAAAAATACAAAGCATTTTTTTCTCTCAAAGAAAGTTCTTTTTTCTTCAAATTCCAATTTCTAGGTAAAGCTAAATTTTCTTTTCTTTTAGGAACATCGTTTTCTTTTCTGTTATTATTTTAATATAACTCAAAAAACCAACTAAAGGTGTTGTTTTGTCGGTTTCGTAATTTGAGTTATTTGAAACGTCTAAATATTGAGAAACTGATAAAAGTTTTAATTTGGGAAAATACATTTTCTAAACAATCTTGAGAAAATCTCGACGTTAATAAATATGAGTCTTTTTTTCGTTCAAAAACGAGTTTTGCAGGTCTAAAATTGATGTTGTAGTCAGTATAACACTTGTTTGAATAGGCTTCCAAACTGCTTTTCCAAATTTGTCAGGAGCGACTTTTAAGTTTAAAAATAACTTAATGAACTCTTGAAGGAATTCTATAGTTTCCTTATAGACAGCCATATTAAACTTGCTCAAGGCCAAAATAGTTGATCTAGAACTAATCAACTGGAACCACCTATGTACAACATCAATAAAAACAGCTGTCGTTAGAGAAGATTTGTCTTCTCTCTCCTCCTCCGCATCAAATTTTATTCCACAACTAACATTTCGATTCAAAACGTTCAGAGATTTTGACACCTTCGTTTTGTTAAAATGGTTAGATTGTAAAAGATCCACATTTAATTTAAACGCAAATTGCAGCTCAAATTTGCCTTCTTCTTCACAAAAATCTTTAATGTGTTGCACGTCAACCAAATCAGAAGTTAATTTATATTTTTCAACAAAATCATTTGGTAATTGAATGATTTTGTTTTGTACCAAACATTGCTTTATATTTTTTAATAAATATGACCCATCTGCTAAAAAATAAATTTTTTTGCCATTAGCTGAGTTTTGGACATAATTTTTTGTTCCGCATTTTCTTCCAGCTTTTATTCCAAAGGTTTTCCACATAGCTTGATTCGCCGATCCCATATCTGAGGTTACAGAATGAACCATCAAACCAATGGCACTGATTTTCTTTAAAACTTCTTTAAGAACATCAGTTAGAACTGCCCCATACTGTCACTTTCATACTACTTTCATACTGTCTCCAGTAAAATAGTATGAAAGAATTTCTTTCCAGCGAGTAGTAATACCTCCCACAAGAACTGCCAACGCTTTTGTCGCTACTCCTTCATGTTTTGGGAAAGTAATTCCCCCAATATACAATAATCAATCTCAACTTTTATATCAACTACTAACTCTTCCAAGAGCGGCAAATTCCATAATTTACATTAAATCTTTTTTGTCTATATGCTTCCTTAACTCCAGATTTCCCCTATACTGTATTGTCCTTTTTATTTAAAACAACAAAGTATCCATTTTCACTCCTAAACGATGGGGAGGTAGATAAGATAGCACAACAGTTTCGTTTTGTTTATCCCTTTGGGCAATATTTTAAATGTTCCACTTGAAAATTCACATACGATAATTTCTCAGAATATTTAATATTCTAGCTTGTGCCATATTAAAATGCAAATCAAATCATGTAACTGTCTATCGGTCATATGTAAGGACCGCACCGGGTCATGGGACTAGTCGTCGTTAATAAGCTTCATCCTGTACGAGGACTTACGTGAAAATATTACGCTATACACAGTCTCATTGTCTCAGCGGAGTATAAACGAAAATACCATGTAAAAATTAGACGTATCCATAAATGCGTGGATATCCTAATATAAGTGTTCTTGTTGTTAATGCCACTAATCCAAAAAAATATCGTTTCGTGTACGCAAGGTGTGTTTCGTTTAAATGAACTATTGTAAATGTGAACCATGTAGCGTCCAAAGTGTGTACATTTTTGTGACAAAAATGACCTCCAGAAGACCAAAATAGGTAAGATTGATTTACTTATAAAAAAAATTATATGTGTCGTTAACGAAAATTATTCTAAACAAAATGTAAATAAAATGCTATTTATATGAGAGCTTTCCAAATACGGACAAAGGGTAGACGAATTTAGCGGAATTACTCATTCAATGACACGAATATTATGAAATACTAGCTCTTCAATCAAGTGTTGTTTGTGTCTATTAATAGCACAGACGAATAAAATTTCCGAATAATAGATTGCAATCAAATATAACGCACGAAATACACTTAAAAGGGTGGATTGTTAAACACCACTTCTGGCTCGAGGGGCCAATCGTGCAGATTTTTTTAAAGAATTTTTAAAAATACTAAAAATTGCAAGAATTTTGCCATATTTTAATCCATTTTAACGATATAAAATATCAGCTTCATTTCAGAAAATTTTTCATCATTGCTTGCTTCGTTTTTATCAACACTCAGAGCTCATTTTTTTAATATTTTTTTTATAAAAGATTCTAAATAACAAAATTATTTTTAAAAAACGGTTGCTAAAATTTAGCAGTATTTCATTTGTTTACCACTTGGAATTAAATTTATAACTTTATTCTAATCTTTTGTAGGTACGAAATCATGAACAACGGTGTTAAATGTTGTTTATCCCTATCTAACTTTCTACATCGATATAACGAAAAGAAAATGACATAAATATACTTTGAAGTAATAGTTAATAAAAATGAAGACTTTAGAAGACTGAGACGGAACAATTTTGCTAGTACTAACTACTACGACATACGTATCAATATAAATGGCCATTTTGGCGTTAAACACTAGAGTGAAAGTCAAAACCTGGCAAAAACGCAAAATAATATAAAATAACGATTATTTAGAATTTTTAAATTACTACAAATGAATAAAAGTAAGAAAAAATGATTGATCACTTTCCAGCGATAAAACGATTTTGTAATTAGCTCATGTAGAAACTGGTCGAAATCTAAATCATCTTCACCTTCAACAGCAATGTTTTCTATTAAAAAATTGGTCGAAAGTTGTTTCGACAGAACTTCCTTCGCCCTTGAAGTACAAGAAAATATATCCAGCATTTTCGAAATTTTTTTTTTTATTTTAAATTTTCGAAAAAATGGAGTTATTGATTTAATTGATAAAATAAATTTCAGCTAGATGATACTCATAATTAGGCTTCGGATTTTAGGTCGTTAAAAAATGAATAAAAGGAGACATTTTTAGGTCCCAAAATTGACGAATTAGGTTATAAAAATCTTAGTTTATGTTAAAAACCTGGAAAAAATATTTGCTCAACGAAAAAGCATACATCAAAAAAAAATATATATAGTAAAAAAATTTTTCAGTTTTTCTATATTTCAGTTTTGGGATTTTTCAATATTTGTTCTTCGACTTTTCCATTTTTGACTTCTGGATTTTTCGATTTGTCGACTTTTTACTTTTTCGATTTTTAAATTTTAGATTTCTCAATTTTTTGGTATTTTAATTTTTCAATATTTAAAATTTTAGATTTTTCGATTTCTCGATTTTCCATTTCAGTTCTTCGATATTTCAGTTTTTCAAGTTTTCGAATTTTTCAAATGTTTTGATTTCTTAATCTATCGATTTTTCGACTTCTCTGTTTTACATTTTCTGTTTTTCAACTGCCGCTTTTTCAAATTTTGGATTTTCCATTTTTTCAAATTTGACATTTATAAACTGCCAATTTTTCGATTTTTCAATTAATCGATGTTTTAATTTTCCCATTTCTTGACTTTCGAGGATTGCGATATTCCTGTTCTTCAATTCTTTAATTTTTCGATTTTTCAGGTTTTTGATTTTTCATTTTTTAGTATTTTTAAGGATTCTTCGACTTCACTTTTTGGATTTTTCAACTTTTTGGGTTCTCAGTTTTTGAATATTTCAGTTTTTAGATTTTTCAGTTTTTCGATATTTCAGTTTTGGGATTTTTCAGTATTTCGATTTTTCGACTTTTTGATTTTTGGCTTTTGGAGTTTTCGATGTGTCGATTTTTTTACTTTTTCGATTTTTAAATTTTATCGACAAATTGAGAAATCGAAAAGTCGAGACTGGAAGTCGAATAATTGAAAATTTGAAAAATTGAAAAATGGAAAAACGATAACACGAAAATTCAAAACATTTAATTGAAAAACTGAAAAATCGAACCACAGAAAAAGTCAAAAATTGAAAAATGGGATAATAAAAAAATCGATTAATTGAGAAATTAGGAAATCGTAAAAATGGACATTTAGAAACGTTAAAATCGAAAAATTGAAAAATCCAGAAATGCAAAAGTTGTCAAAATTAAAATATGTATTGAAAAATTGAGAAATTGAAAACTCGAAAAATTTTAAAAGTAGAAAAACCGGATCGTCAAGAAATCAAAAATTTAAAAATCCGCCACATTGAAAAATATATCAGAAAACTGAAAAATCGACAAATCGATAAATCGAAATGTCTAAAATTAAAAAAATTGAAAAATTAAAGTAGCGAAATATTGAAAAATCGAGGAATCGATGCTTCAAAAAATCGAAAAATGGAAATTTAAAAAATCTAAAATTTGTAAAACTGAAAAAGGGAAAACCAAGAAATCGAAAATCCGAAATTGAAACAATCGAAAAATTGAAAAATCAAAAAATGAAAAATCGAGAATTTGAAAAATTGAAACATCATAAAAATGGAAAATCGAATAACCGAATAGCCGAAAAGTAGAAAAATCGAAAATTTGAAAAATCCGAATAGGTCAAAACTGAAAAAATAGAAAAATTGAAGAATCGAAAAATCGAGAAATTGATCATTTAAAACATTGAAACACCGGAAAATTTATTTTAAAAACTGAAAAATTGAAAAATCTAGAACCAAGAAGTTGAAATTTCGAAAGATCAAGAAATTGAAACAAAATCTAAAATTTAATGTTCGAAAAATTGAAAAACAGAAAAATCAAAACTGAAAAATCGAAAAATAGAGAAACCGAAAAATGTAATGTCTTCATAATTGAAAAATTAAAATTTGGAAAAATCGAAAGTTGAAAAATTTAAAGTTGAAAAATTAAAAATTTTAAAATCCAAAAACTAAAAAGCGAAAAAATAAAAAGCCGAGAAATCGAAAAATCGAAAAGTCGAAAAATTGAAAAACTGAAGAATCGAAATATTGAAAAATGCCGAAACTAAAACACCGAAAAATTGAGAAATCGAAAAGTCTTAAAGTGGAAGTCGAATAATAATAATGGAAACTTTGAAAAATCGAAAATGGAAAAACGAAAACCCAGAAATTCAAAAACTTGAATTGAAACATTGAAAGTTTAATTTTTCAAATATGACTTATAAACTCTCAATTTTTCTATTTTTCAATTAATCGATGTTTTGATTTTCCCATTTCTTGACCTTCGAGTGTTTCGATTTTCCTGTTCTTCAATTCTTTAATTTTTTGATTTTTCAGGTTTTTATTTTTCAATTTTTCGATTTTTTAAGGTTTCTATTTTTCGACTTCACTTTTTTGACTTTTCGATTTTTCAGCGTTTCTATTTTTGACTTCTGAATTTTTCGATGCGTCTGTCTTTTTAGTTTTTCGATTCTTGAAGTTTTGGATTTTTAAATTTTAGATTTTTCGACTTATGTTTAATTTTTCCATATTTCTTAATCTTTCGATTTTTCGACTTCCTTGTTTTAAATGTTCTGTTTTTCAATTTTTCGATTTGTTAATTTTTCATTCCCGATTTATTGAGATTTGATTGATCAGGTTTTCGATTCATCAGTTGTTGAATTTTTTATTTTGGCCTATTTCTAAAAAAAATTCTAGTGCTCACCATATCGTAATCTTTTGGTAAATAATTTTTTCTCAGAGTGTTTCTGAGGGTAAATGCCTTCCTGCATAAAATTTTTAAACTCAGGACAACTAACTTTATCCCATGGAATATTTGCTGCGGTAAATGCCCTACATAAATCGGTGCAAAATTGCGTAAAATCATTGTCGCAACTAATGTTTAATAAAGTCTGTTTACTGGATTTATTCTCGTTCTTTTTATGTGCATCGCCACTGCAGTGTTGTTCAAAGTGTGATTTTTTTTTCGCACTTAAACTAGGAAACAAAAATGTGAACATAATTCTAGCTTCATTATTTTAAATGTTTACTTACAACTTTTCCACACACTTTGCAGAATAACTCATTGTCTTTGGTTGAAGAAGGAAATTGAAAATTAGTGTCCAAATTATTCCCTAAAACCATTATTTTATTAGGAGTTTAAGTGATCCTTTTTGTATAAACGTTTAAATTAGACAAAAAAAGTATGGATGCTTTATTTTTGTTGGTAAAGTATAAAAGTTGGGATTTATCTGATTTAATGGTTGCATTTTTATTAAACGACTTTTAGAAATATAGATAACTGTTTATACATATGTGTAAACTGGTACGTCTTCACTACGAACAGATCTGAATTACTGGGTTCCCTTACATTTTTAAGAATAGAGAAATGTAAACTACAATTTCCAGATTGCAATGGTTATGGTTAGAAATTATTTTTGCAAAATACGATTTCTCTTAGACAGATAATCTCCGAAACTACCCGACCGGTTGTTGTCAAATTTTGTACGTATATTAAAAATATTGTGTAGATAGTGAAGCCCTAATCAAAATTTGTCTGATCGTCCCTATATTTTACTTGCGTGATGGTGTGAAATAATTTTTAAATATTTCGTATTTGTTCGAATACACATATAAATTTTGACAACAATCGAAGTTAAGTTTTGTCGTGACTGACAAAAGTCGTCACGGACGGCGGGGGTCATAACACGTCGAGAAAATATGAAAGCAACCAATCACCCCATGGACTCGATTACAATACTTTAGCTTACGCCCGGGAAGTAAAAAATAAAAACCGATAATGTATAATCTGATTCTTTCAGTAATTTGAAAATTTATTAAAGTAGTTGGTCGAACAATAACATTCAATTAAATTTTTCCATAAGACTTGTGTGTTCTGTTTAATTCATTAGTTACTTAACTAT